GGCCGGTGCTGGGGCGGGGCCGGGGAAAGCGGTGGTGTGGTCGTGGGTTCCGCGGTTTTGGCCGGGTCTCGGTGGCCAAATGAACTGGGCCGTGTTTACGTCAAACTTTTGGTTGCTTGGCCATTTTTCTTCCTCGCAAGAGGAGGTTCGTTAAAAGGTTAGGCTTTACTATACTCTTCATGTCCACTGGCTCGACTCCAGCGGAAGGTGGCAAACCATAAGGCAACAACATTTCATGGGTGTTAGTTGTGTTGGTCCTTCTCTTGGGAATAGTGCCTGGTTTGGTTTCGTTTTTGAATTAGGTGTTCTGCGCTCCAAAAATACATCTTGAATCTGTGAGCAAGTATTTGGTAGACATGCTACGCTATCAGCACTATGGATGGTCGTTGGGCTCTCCTTTACGACCTGTAGGTCCGCTGCAGGGAAAGGTACCATCGTCGCCTTTGAGCATGCTTTTATGATGAATTTGGGGTACAACTATGGCCATGTTGGAATTTTTTTTCCCGGAGGTGCTATTCGCATTTTTTTGTTGTCAAATAATGCTTGCGACATTTACATCACTTTTTGCGACTGATACCTATGAAGAGCGGCTGGCTTTCCGGTCTTTTTCCTTTGCTCTTGACACTTCTGTGGAGGGTCGTTGTGTACGTTTTTGTTTCACATTGGATTTGGGCTTCTGCAGGCTGGCTGCACCTGATAATTGCGCAAGACATGGCTGAGGACATAGTTATTCATGCAACCGCCGAGGCTTTATAGTTGGTATGCGCTGCTGTATTGGGGCGCCGGTAAGGCTTTCATATTCATGGGGAGAGACTCCCTATTTGTTCCTTCTTCTTGCTTGCATCGGTGCAACTAGGCTCTGGACGGGCTGGCTCGGGATCATTGGAGGTAGTCCTCCCCAGGGTGGAACAAGCGCTGTTTACGCCATAATGAATTCCCAAGTGGCAGCAGTCGTTTGCCCTGGCTTTTCCCCCATATGTGGCAAATGAAGAAAGGGAGCCTGTTTCTGGCGGTGAATGGTATCATTGCAGGTTTGGCGGGTATCACTCCTACTTCTGGCTATAATGCAGTTCTTACCGCTATTATTTGTACTCTGCTTATTGCCATATTCGTACACCCTTCTATATTTTCACTCAAATACAAATTGCGCATTGAAGGTGCGCTTGATGTCTCCAGCGTCCATGGTGCTCTAGGACTAGCTGAAGCTCTGTTTATTGGCATAACAGGGACCTCAAATGTCGGCAGAGCGGAGTGGTGTAGTATGTGGAGGAGGTGGTAAGTTGTTTGGATTGGATTGACTGACATGTCCTGCTCCTGAAGTGTGGGACATGCTTTGGAGATTAAGCATTTTGCATGTAATTGGACGGTCTTACCGATTACCTATGACTGAAGAACCAAAAAGACACCAAATGGACCGCGAAAAGCACAATGAGGCTACGTGGATGCCACGAGACTTAACAGTGGGGAAGTCCATGATGCCGGTGCAACGCAGTGAAGAATCGATACAAATACCAAATGCAAGCCTATTTGGTGGCGACACTGCCAGCTACCTTTTGGGTAAGCTAAGGGGTGAGTCCATCATTGTGACACCCCAGGTAAAGAATGATGAAAATGATATCATTAACGACCCTCACGAGGAGGGGTTCAACACGGTGGCTGTGACAGTACTTGATGACACGAGAAGAACAAGTACAGCAGGTGGAGTCGATAAGCATTTAAAGGACCAAGATAACTGCAATGATGAGAGTTGACAGTGTCCCTTCTTTTTTTGTCGTTTTTTCTGTTTTTTTATTTTTCTTGTGAGGTAATCTTCGTGATGATTATTCTGTTCTTGTTTAACGTCTCGTTGGTATGGATGATACCATTTGAGATGGGATGCGAGAAAGTCGAGTTTTTGTTTTTGTTACAGCTATGGTGACTAATATGATAATGTGTGTTCCACTTTAGCTTTAAATGGAAATCAGATCCGCCGTGTGTGAACAAGGTACTCTGCCCAAATTATCCCATTCTGTTGTATTTTCACGTGTTGCCATGCTGCATTGTAGTGCACTGTAGAGTCCCTCCCCTTCACAAACAAAAGAGTTTTTTGTTGGTGCTTTCCCTCTCATTGGAAAGTTCACAAAGAAATACAAACTGAATGAAAAGACCCAATTCGAGATCGAAACTAAAAACAGTTGATGCCTAGCACTTCGACGACGGTACATCCTTCCGGACGAGGGGAACTATTATTATGGATTAACAGTGTTTGCTCCGCAGAGTACCCGAGTGTTGAGTCTCTGCGAGACGGCGTGGCCTATTGCACCATCATTGATGCTGCTGCTAGCCGTGTGGCAGAGAACTGCGCAGCTCTCGGCATACCAGAGGCACATGCTGCGCAAGTTCGCGCAAAACGTGCCACTCAACTCCTTGGTCGCATTGAGTGGGATGTGACGTTGGCAACATGCACAAATCAGGATCCTTCTTTGGACAGCATGCGGGAGCGTGACCAGTGTGAGAAGAACATGCAAACCTTACAACTAATGCTTCGGGTGTGTGTCCCACCAGAGTTTTCCTTGGAGTTGGATGCGTCACGTTTAGCAACAGGAAAACTTCAGGAACATATTTTACTTCTAAGATGGATGTTTCAATTTATGGCCAAGATGTTGAACACATATTCGAAGAAGGCTTTAGAGAGACGTGCAAATAGCTCCGGAGAGGTTGGATGTGTGGAAGGGGTGCGGATGACAAGGGCCATGAAGCTACAACGAAAGATGGTTCGGCAAAAATATATTGAACCGGATGATTTGGGAGTGGCACGTGACCAAGTAAAGGATTCTGAAAAGAAGAGTAACACCGTGCCAAACTGGAAAGGACTCGAAAACAATAGAACATGTAACGCGGAGCAGGCCACACAACTTGCTTCCTCCCCTAGGGTACAGGACATGCCAGGGATCGTGTTGAAGGAAAGTATCGAAACACCACCTGATTCCCAGGTGACACACTCAAAGGTAACAGGAAAACGTCAAAAGCTTACTCCTGTTCAGGTTTCTAAATCTGATGGCAGATCTGTTGGCTCGCATATTCCGTTCTCTGAAAACACACGGCAATCGTCATTTACTGTGCCTCATGATCATTACGCTTTGCTAGATGATTTGAGGCAGGACGTAGAGACTTACGAGGCGCTTGCCCTTGCGGCTCACAGAAGGCACCAGCGGTGCCTGACGGCAAGCCAAAATGCAGATTGTGACCCTCCTGCCGACGAGCGATGTCTTGCTGAAGAGTTTTTACCCAGTAAAGCCCCAATAATCTCTTTAGAACAACTCGGGGTTCTGCTAGAGGAGAGAGACAAATTATGGCAGACATTAGAGGTACTCCAAGACGCCCTTCTGCGATGCAGGAGTGGGGTTGGAGAGGGAAGTGGGGTGGTGACGGCCGCCTCGCCACTTATGACAAGAATACTCTCAGTACTCTCCCCGTCGTAGGGACGTGTGGTGATATTTATTTGAGTAGGATAACACCCTTATTTAATAGTTGCGTCAGTAAATGGTTATATAAATACGCTTTTCCGGTGAATCAATTTGACTTTTGTCCTCCTGACTACCTTTTCTGCTTCCTTCATCGAATTGCTTACTTTAGGAATAGAGGAACATTTTTTTATTTTACCGTAGTGGGTGCCGAAAAAAAAACTGACATTGTGCTGGAGCGCTGTTGTGGCTTGACATGTTGTGGGCCGAGCCGGTAGTGCGTATACTGGGTGGTGTAGTGCTGATACTTACGTCCTGGTCAATGATATTACAAATGTTGCGGTACGTGCGCGGTGTCCCCATGTCTGTGCGAATAGGAAAAGAGGTTTCCTCTGTTGCGTTTGATGTCGCGGCGTATGCCATCCTCTTTGTCCCTGTTACTCTACGGGGAAGGGATATGCTTACCACAACGCATAAAAAATTTTTGTGGACGTGTTTCGCTGCTGCATGTACAGCTATCATAACTGTACATTTATTGGTTCACCTGACAGTACCTAACCATCACCGTCAGACCCAAGAACTTATGATAATGTTGGCCCGTGTGACGTCTGACGTCATAATGTTTTTTTGTGGATGTAATGTGGTGCTGAGTACAAAATGCAGTTTTTCAGGATGTCGCTGGTTTCTGGACCGCCGTAAGAAGAATCAATATCCCACCTATGGTGGAGCACTGCGGCTCAGAGTACGTTATGTTGTTCTTGTTGGCATCATATTATTTATGCTGCTAGCGTCGACTTTGCCAGGACATTTTCAAGGTGGTGCAAAGCGCTTGCTGGAGGTTGGTATGCTGGGCGATTATGTGGACTTTTGTGGATTTGAAGGGAAACGATTGATGTCTAGCGCTGCGAATGGATGGGTGATTCCAGAGTATACCCATCGTAGACTGCTGAACGCATATAGCGGGAGTGATCAATGTGGCGTGAACAAAATTTCATTTATGGATGAGGATGAGGCCGTTCTGGTTGTCTTGCCATTTTGCCCAGATGGAGGTGAGAAACCGGCTATTTATCGTGAGCGCCCGGAGCGTAGTGAACTCAATAATGGTCCAGAAGTTCTTCCCAAGGTTCAGAATAATAGTCTTGCGTGGCACCGCATAATGGAGGCGCGTTATGGCACTGATGAGGAAACTCACAAGTCTATGGGTGTTCGTGTCAACCGTGACCACTCTGGTCTCATTCAATCTGTAGAAGTTCTTCCTTCAGCTTTAAATCTAGTGCGGCGGAAGCCACGAACCAAACAGGAACGAGTGATTCGTGCAAATTGGCCTACACAAGATGTATGGCAGATTCCATTGGGAGATAGCGGAGCTTACGGGGTTTACTGTCCCTTCACTGATTACGAAGAGTATCACATGTTTCCACCACCTCGGAAACGTTCGAAAACTGATATGAGTGCAAATACTACAGGTAATGCTCAGCCACAGCCTCCGGCCAGCGTTCTTGTGCTAGTCCTTGATGCAGTGAGCCGCCAGGAGGTGTTGCGTTCCTTGCCAAAGTTCAGCAAGTGGCTCCAAAAAATCCGAGACGACGATATGAAACCACACATTTTTGTGGAAGCAAAGGGAGCCACAACACTCTCACATAGTACGGAGGCAAATTTTGTCCCACTTCTCACTGGCCGGGTGCCACATTTGATGAAGGAACACGAAAAATCTGGATCTCTCCATAAAAGTCTATTTCACTTGGTGAAAGAACGTTATGGTGACCGTTTTAGCACCTCCTACACAATTGGAGACTGCTTTGATCTGATGACGTCGATCTTAAAAGAAAAGAACTACAGCGCCGGGTTCGGTGAGCCATACGCTGATGACGTCGATTATCACACGTTTGGTCCTTTCTGTCATCTACAGTACTCTGCTCTTGAGGGTAATTTCCAGGGTGGCAACAGCATCTTGAAACGGTGCATTGGCCAGCAGTACGTTCATGAGTACGTTTTGAATTACACACGTGCGCTTTTGAAGAGACGGTTATCTTTTCGCCGCCGACAGCGCCAGGCGAAAGACTTTTCTGAAAGTAACTTATTCCCCATACTGGACGATGCAGACTTCTTCTTTGACGTGTCACACTTGGTTGAGGGCCACGAGGGAACCCATGGGGTGCTGTACCTCGTTGATGGCGCCCTCACAGCTTTCCTTGAGGAGCTGCGGACGGAACTCCACTTCTTCGACGACCCTTCTAACATCCTCGTGGTGCTGTCTGACCACGGCAACCACATGGGCCCTTATTACGAGCTTACTGCACCTGGCAAGCTGGAGCGGGCTTTGCCATTTGCTGGTATGATACTACACCCTGATGTTCTCTCCCGTGTCGACCGCTTGAAGGGGCAAGAGGTAGGATCGGCACAGCGCAATTTGAAGAAGCGCACCAGCCGTATCTCTACCCACTTGGACATATACTTGACCCTCGCTGACTTGCTGGGTGTTGAGGGAAAGCTTGACGAAGATGTGCTAAGGGCACGCGTCCCTCCGTTATCCTTCTTCGAAATGCGCGATAACCCTCCTGTTGATCAATGCGAAGACATCTTAGCACTTAATAACAAGGCGTCCGGGTGCTATTTAGAGTGGTGCGAAAGTTTATGAATTAAGATGATGCTCAATGGTACTGTGATGCGCGGACAAAAGAAAATGCAATGGAGTACATATGGGTAACACCTTGTATGATAAAGGGTTGACGACCTAAATGAAACGCGACTGCTTTTTATAGTCGTTCCGGACATGGGTGAATAATGCTGTTTGCCATGTTGAAGTTGACCTGAGGTTGTCTGCTAAGCCATTTAGGGCAACCTCCGGAAATTGGTTTTTGATCTTACCTACAAATTCTAGCTTTTGCTTCGCTTCCTCCATCTTATTCGGAAGAAGAGAAAAAGAAAGAACTAGGAGGCTCTGCGAGGCCTGATCATGATTGAATGAGACAAGACGAAAAAGAAAGTTGCGAAACTCGATTCATAGATAATCCCCCAAACGGTGGATTACATGAGCAAAGGACTTCTGCGGTTCGGTTCTATCTTTTATAAAACCTTCTTGCATAAAAAAAAAACGCTGCGAAAGCAACTGTGGGCTATTCTATGTTGAAGGACAATCAAATCTCACATTGACATTCTCCCAGTAGAATGCGAAGACAAAAAAAAAATAACGATGATGAAACAAGCGTCTTAGTATCCTGTATTCTGAATATCTGGTCTAAACCAGGCTCTGAATGTTCATAAGCAATACTTTGTTGATGGAACGGGCTGAGAAGCGTGGCTGTACGCACGTGCGTCTGTGTGGGTGTCTGTGTTTGTGCTTCTCTCTGTGTGTGATGTCCTCTTCTTTCTTTCAACAGTTTATTTTAATACCCTTTCCCTTTGCCTATGATTGGTTGCAGGACGAGAAAGAATGTGTGATGCTGCAGATGATCTTCTGAGAGCTCTGACGGATGCTCAAGCGGATTCACATGTCTCTTCGCGTGAGGAGGCCGACTCGTTTCACCAAAGCGTCAATCGATTGTGCAGTGCGCAGTGGCTCGCACATAATCGACATTGCCGGCGCATCTACCGTACGCTTTGCGAGTTCTGCAAACCTGCGGATGTTGTCCTGGAACTTCGGCAAACGACGAATGACCTCTGGCGTACATGGAAAGCCATACAGTCCACCTGTGGGGGCACCTTGGCGGAAATGCTTTCAAGACTCACGGATGCTAAACTGGTTGAGAAAGACAATTATGAAAAAGACACTATTATCCTCCTCTTGTCACTACTAAAGAGTGACATGAATGAGGCGGGTGACAGTCTATCTTTGATGGAACGGGGCTTGCAGCAACTGCGGAATGACGTGGAGCGAGAGAGTGCATTGACGTTGGACGCCGCATCGCAGCGGAGGGCGCTGCGAAAGCGACGGATTCAACGTCTTGTAGCAGTGCAACTTGGACAGGAAAATATCAGTCGGTTGCTAGAGGAAGAGTCACACCGTATTTCGGAGTTGAAACTAAAGTCAAGCGAATTACAGGCAAACATGGAAGGACAACTTGCACAGCAAATGACTGTCAGTTCGTCGCTAAAGGTCGGCCATGACAGCCAGACTTGCTCATATGAGTTGAACCCAGCGTTGCTGCGCCAGCTGGGCTTAGATATAAAGGCCCATGAAATGGCTCAGGCAGCCCTCTTATCGAAAACGCACCAAGTGCTGAATCACCTGGTGCAAACTGCGGATTTCCAAATGATGCCGAGCGTTGTGCAGTCACACAAAACACAAGCTTCAGGGAAAGGTGGCTTGATGGAAGCCTTGACACCTCGATTAACACACAGTGTGAATGCATCTCTCCTTGCGCGGGCTGAGTGCCTGTTAAACCGCTCATGGGAGGAGGGTATGGGCATGGATGAGTGTTATGCAGTAGGAACAAACTCTGAGCATCGTACCCGAAACGATGACTACTCGACAGCTGCCTTGGAAGACCATGCGTCAAAGCTGCAGCGGCAAGCTGCGGTGAGTATTTCGTCTGCTGCACGTGCCCACCGAATTTCAGGCGCTTCGAAAGAAATTCTCCAAAGAGGCAATAATGGAAGAGAGACTGCTCTTCGTGCTGAGTGTGGGGCTGGCGCTCAGCTGATTCTCAAGCAAAAGAATGAAGTAGCACGAATTCCCCTTCAGAGTCATGTGGGAGGGTCGCACGGCACGGTCGTTTTGAGCAGTGGAGGCCGATCGTCTCTCCTTGACTGTTCGATTAAAGAAGGTTCAAGTATTCCAGTAATTGACGCTACTCGACTCACGCCCAAAGAAATGGGAGGAATGAAAACACGACACGGTGCCGACAATGAGTCGTTGCAGCTGACGCCTCCTGACGACCCTGTTGTTACCGCAGTGTTGGTGAGCAGTGAGTCCGAGTTCCAAGAGGCAGACGTGACTCCACAACCTTCGGGAGGTGAATTTTTACCACTAGTGCTCAAAGAAGCTGGAAACAGCGTGAATCCACGACTATCGAGGTCATCTATACTTCACCACGAGGCACAGAAACTCAATGTCACGAGAAGTAAGGCTCTCGTTCTCGCACGAATACGCAAACTTGCGCGAGTAACGGACGGCACTCCTTCTTTACTATCCCATTACACCGCCGACAAGAAATGATGAGGGAAATGTACTTGTGTTTATCATGAGTGTCAAGCTTCTCTATTATTTCATCTCCACACCGACGGGTGATTTCCCTCCATTACCCTCTCCAAGACATTGCACTCGAACGTGTCTTTTCACAAACGCTTCAAAAGACAAATGCATAAATGTCTTTTATTTGTTTACCGCTTTAGAGCAAACACCCAGGAATGAACGTTAGTTCAAGCCCCGTAATCCCCTTGATTACGACACTGCTGCTGCTGCTTCTGACGACGGCTGTGACTGCGCGCAGCGAGCAGCCGGGTGCGGGGGTGGGTGGCACTAAGGAAAGTACCGACAGTGCGTGGCGTTCCGCCGACGCTCTGCACCCCATCCAGGCTGAGATGCGACCGTACGTGCGGGAGATGATTGCCCACGCCTTTGACTCCTACATGAAGTACGCTTTCCCCAAGGACGAGCTGTGCGCCGTGAGCGGGACGGGTAAGGATACCATGGGCGGATACGGCTGGACACTCATCGATGCTCTCGACACACTGGCGGTCTCCGGCCTCCATGCGGAGTTCCGCCGTTATGCGAAGTGGGTTGAAGACAATGTGAACTTCGACATCGACGTCTCCGTGTCTGTGTTCGAGACGGCGATCCGAGCCATCGGCGGCCTCCTTGCTGCCCACTTCATGTACGAAGAGGGCGTGGTAGAAGTTGTGGCCACCGAGCACAACTACACAGGCGGGCTCGTGCGGCTGGCCGCGGACCTCGGGGACCGTATCCTCCCAAGCTTCCACACAGCCACGGGGATCCCTTATGGGGCAATCAACCTTCGTCGTGGTGTGAGCCCAACGGAGACAACCATGACATGTACTGCTGTTGGTGGCACATTTCTGGTGGAGCTGACTGCATTGTCTGCGGCCACTGGTGACGACCGATATGAACGTGCTGCCCGGCGTGCCTCGGAGGCGCTGTTCGCTGCCCGAGACCCCAGCACCGGCTTGATGGGGAGTCACATTGACATCGAGACTGGTCGATGGCGACTGACTGAATCTCATGTAGGTGGCGAGATCGATAGCGCGATTGAGTACTACATCAAGTCACACAGTATGTCCGGAGATATTGGTGACTGGGAGCGCTTCGAGCGCTCTGTGCGCGCAGTCAACCGTTACGTGCGAAAAGGTGGCATGCTGCTTGCGGTCGAAATGGGGAGCGGTAGGCGAACACGGACCACCCATGAATCGCTGTCATCTTTTTTTCCGGGCAACCTGCTTCTCGGCGGCCATCACACAGAGGCTGTGGAAAGCAGCTGGCCGATCCACAGCATCTTCAAGCACCTTGGAGGTTTGCCTGAGAGCTTCTGTTTGGCCACGGGGCGTATTGGAAGTTGGGGACGACGCTACCCACAGCGCCCGGAGCATGTGGAGTCCCTGTACATGCTGTACCGTGCGACTCGCGATCCTGCGTACCTCGTGATGGGAAGGGAGCTGGCGATGGCAATCAACCTGCGCATGCGTACTCCGTATGGGTTCTCCACATTGAATAATGTGGAGTACCCGCACCGCGATGAATTGCACGATGACTCGATGGAGAGCTTCATGCTTGCGGAGACGCTGAAATATCTTTACCTTCTGTTCGACGAGTGCAACACGGTGCACTTGCAGGGAAAGATTCGTGGTGGTTTCCCGTCGTACTGCGCTGACACATGGGACAGCGGCAGTGCAGCAAGTCATGTGGGGTGGGTGTTCAACACTGAGGCGCACCTTTTCCCCAACACTGCTGAGTGGTGGGCGTCGACGTCTGTAGATGACACGTTTATGTGTGGACGGACGGATTTGCTTTTGTGGGGTGTGGATATGGTTCCAGTTTTGTCTGTTTCTGATGATCGATTTGGATGTGGTGCAACAACTGTGTGTGAAGTTCATCCTGTAGGGCTTGAACTTCATAGACGCCGTCTGGAGGTGATTGATGATCTGCTTAAGGGGTTGGACAGGGGTGCCGGCATGACCGATGGGAAGGATGCCGTGCCAGATGCTGTAACGCACGAGTACTACTGTGCCAACCATGCTCTCAACGATGTGGAACGGTTGTCTAGGTCTTTTTTTCGCTGAGTTCGATCGTTCTATGGTGGTTGGCATGATTTGGCTAACTTGCAGAGGATGAATTCTCGTTTTGAACCTTTTGGGCGACGGATCCTTTGTGGGTTTTATTGAGGTTTTGGGACCTGTGTGTGCGTTTTCACTGTGCGATCGCCGCACACTTCGGGCCTGCTATGCGCAGCGTGTCGTTCCCCTTCCGTGCTTTCTGACATTTCCCATGAAGGTTTTTATTGTTGTTGAAGGAAGCGGGGTGATGGGAGCTGAGCGCTGCTGTAAAGAAAGGAAGGCACATGACCTGCTGATTCCCTTGATTACGACACTGCTGCTGCTGCTTCTGACGACGGCTGTGACTGCGCGCAGCGAGCAG